GAGAGAGAGAGACAGAGAGAAAGGTCTTCCTTTGCCATTGGTTCACCCTCCAGTGGCCACCGCGGCCGGCGCGCTGCGGCCGGTGCACCGCGCCAATCCGATGGCAGGAGCCAGGAGCCAGGTGCTTTCTCCTGGTCTCCCATGGGGTGCAGGGCCCAAGCACCTGGGCCATCCTCCACTGCACTCCTGGGCCACAGCAGAGAGCTGGCCTGGAAGAGGGGCAACCGGGACAGAATCCGGCGCCCCAACCGGGACTAGAACCCGGTGTGCCGGCGCCGCTAGGCAGAGGATTAGCCTAGTTTGCCGCGGCGCCGGCCTAATTTTTGTGTGTTCAAAGGTTATTAAGAGATAATATTAAAGCAATTTACTATTTAAACATGAAATATGTTCTCTTTATATTAAAAAAAAAAAAAAAAACTTAAACAAACTTCCAGGGCTGGGCCAGGTTGAAGCTGGGTCCTGGAACTCAATCTGAGGCTCCTTGTAGGGGGAGGAATCCAAACACTTGTGCCATCACCGACTATCTCCACCTGCCCGCGTTAGCAGGAAACAAATCAGAAGGGAAGCTGGGACTTGAATCCAAGTCCTCCTATATTAGATGATGGTAAACAATATAATATCCTAACCATTGTGTCAAATGCCTATCCTCATTAAGGTTTTTCATTGTCAATTCCTGACTTCTGTTCGTAAAGATACTTTTTGCTGAATAACATTTATTTTCATATTTTTCTTAGTTTGAGTTAATAACTCAGTAAAACATATGGAGATATATTATTTGTGGATCAATCATAGCAACACTTGTTTTCTTTATGTAGTTTGAACTATGACTCCTACATGCTGTCATGTACTTACAATTTTTCTTTTAATTCATTTCTGGATGATTTAAATCAAATAATTTATTTCTTATTTAATTCAATGGTTAGATTAAAAATAAGTCCTTTTATGTACACTGTTAAATGCTTTCAATATAATTGTTTTCTAATTTTTCGGATGTGATCAGAAGTTATGAATAAAACAACTTTGCTGAGATATTCTTTGAATCTGGCAACACTTAATTTTTCAATTTTTTAAGACCAGGAGAAAAAAAATCAGTGAGGATTTTTCTGTATGAGTGAAAGGCATGATCCTGATAATGATGCATATTTGTACAAGCTCCTGTTCAGTCTACTGCATCAAGTTTGGTCTTGTCACCAGTTCTCTGGCACATGAGACGTCACTACCACAGGGCCTTCCTAGCTGTTCCCTCCATCTAGGAACCCTACTTTCAAAAGTTAACGTATGACATACTTCCTCAATTTGAACTCAGCTGTGCAAATAGTTCATCTGCATATTTTCCCACATATTCTTAAAGCCACGGTGGCCAAAGAATAAAATAGCATCTTAAATAAAAGGTCCATATACCAGAGTCACATGTCTTAATTTCAGGGGTCTTTTGACAGTGTGAAATATTTACAGGATATTATAAAGCTGACATATATTCTTCTTCAAGACATTTCATTTAAAACTTTATTTAGTATTTGTATTGACCTGGTTACTGTTACTAATCATTTGTATTTGACATATGAGCGGTGTGTATATACAATAAGTTCAAATTATTTGTTATAATTATGTCCTATAAAGCCACCATGAACTCTGAAATAGACAATAAGAACCATAAATGCTGGGGAATTATAGATTAAATCATAAATCTCTTAGCTCAACCAGGTATATTCAGTTTTCTCTATTTTATGAAAGATAAAACAAGGTTCATAGGTGTTAAGTGACTTGTCTGAGGCCACCCTGCTGATGGTTGCCAGAGCTGGAGTTTCAGTGCTGTTCTACTGGCCCCACACTGTTCTACACTGTCCTCTGCTGGCCCCATCCTTGGTCATCCCTGTATTGGGCTGCAGCAAGGAAATAGAGCATCTGGTGAATATCTGCTACGTCAGGCATCTCAAAATATGTCATGCTCAGCATACGTCCCCCAGAACTGCAAGGGTCTGAAGCTACAAAGAAATGCTATCAAATAAGAAAATTTGCAAATACAGAATCCATGGGCAATGAGAATTCTCTGCGTGTGTGTGTTAGACAGCTTTTTGTTAAGATAATGAAATATCTGAAGACACCATTTAAAGATAAAAAGTTTACTTTTCTCAGAGATTTGGAGGTTCAATTCTAAGACTGGGTGGCCCCAAGGGTTTGTCTCTCTGAAGGTAGTGGATAACAATGGCAGAATGGGTGCTGAGAATAATAATATGTTAAGCCAGAAAGCAAAGAGAGCGGAAAGCTGATTTTAACCCAGGCTTTATAACAACCGTGTCATGAGAACTACCTTTCATGGGCACATGCTGAATGATCTAAGGGCATCCCACTAGTCACTATCCATTACAATTTCTATCATCTCCCAATACCACCAAGCACAGGACCTATGTCTTTGAAATAGAGTACTTTAGAAGACATTCACTATCCAAATTGTGTGTGACACATGCAGAAACCAACATATAATTCAATATTTTTCCCTTGTCTACCTTGTTTTTAATTTCAGAATGTTAGTATTATTACAGACATAATCCAATAATATCTAATATTGAGATCATTATATACACTGAACAGTTTGAATGACTCGTCATATTCATCAGCAGAGTGGGCAGATTTTCAAGAAAGCCAAGTTTTTGAACATTTAATACAGATATCAGAAAGCTAATCATTGTTATTGATTTAAAGGTGATTTAATACATCTTTAGGATAAATAATGGTGAAAAATCTATAATTTCCAGTGAAATATATTACAGCATCCAATGCTGGAATAATTTGAGAAACAGAATAAATTAAATAATATATAACCCAAAATATAAAATGACTATCTCTGAATTCATAGTGAAGTAAATAAGCAATTGCATAAATAAATAAGCAAATAATACTAGTTAAAAATACCAAGCAGGAAATTTTTATTAACTTTTGCAGATACTCTAACCTTCAGAACGAGGAATATAACTCCCTGGTTCTACATTATGTTCAGCACATGGTTACTTCCTACCAAAGATTATCAGAGGAAAATATAGGGGGAAATGGAGGAGCTAACTTGCAGTAGGGAAATTTGGCAAACACTGCATCAATTTGTTGAACAAGGTCAATATCAACAATGATAAATCCTGTTGATGTTATTTACCACTGCTACTGGCCACCGTTATTTTCTTGTAAAAAACCCATTACCCTGGTCTAACTGAGAAAAACAAGACATAAAAGCCAACAGTGCTGTATACTGCAAAATACCTGACTAGGACTCCTTAAAATGGTCATGATCATCAAAAACGTGCAAGTTTGTGAAATCATAAACAGCCAACAGGCTCCAGAAGACACAACAACTAAATGTAACATAACATAGTATATTGAATCCTAGAAGAGAAAAATGACATAAGTAAAAGCTAAGGAAATCTTAATAAATTCTGTATCTCAGTGAATAAAAGTATGTCAATATTAGTTAATTATTGGTAAGAAATCATGAAACTAAAGTGAAATATAAATAATAAAGGCAGTTCTGTGAGGGTTAAAAAGTTTTTGCATTATCTTTTCAATTTTACTGTAGATGAGTAATTTTTTTAAAAGGAAGACTATTTTAAAAGCCCTTTTGTTATGATGCGGACATTATGGAACAGCAGGTTAAACTGCTACTTGGGACACCACATCATTTATTGGAGTGCCTGAAATGGAATCCTTCCTCTGCTTGCAGTTAGCTTCCTGCTAATGTATCTGGGAGGCAGCAGGCAATGGCTCAAGAACGTGAGAGACCAGACAGAATTCCTGGCTCCTGGTTTCCACCTGACAGATCCTTGACTGTGGTGGGCATCTGAGGAGCAAACCAGAAGATGGAACATATCTGTCTTTCCCTCTTTCTGTGCTCCATCACCTTTCAGTTAAATCAATCAATTAATGATTTTTAAAAGTTAGCTAGTTAAAAATGGTTTATGCTTTTGTGTTCATCTTTTACTGTTGCCAATACTTATGATTTATATTTTCTACAAGTATTCTGTGGGGTCTGATTAATACAATGTTCAGTGTGTAAAGGAAAAAAGCTGTTAATGAAATTCAAAAATTCCATTTTTTAAAAAGATGTTTGTTAATGTGATGAGAAAACTTGCTTAAACTAGAATATTTATTAATAATAAATCCATACTTTAATACCAATATGCAGTCGTTCTTAAGGTGAATAATCCAGTTTGACAGCAGTGTATACATTTACAAGGTGGCTTAGTGAACCAATGCTAATAATAATAATGATAATAGTGGTAATGAGAACAGCAACAATAAGAAGTAGAGGCAAAATAATTATAACTGTCTGCTGAGTACGACATTCTATTGAGGAGGAATGAGGATTATATGCAAAGAAAGAGATAGTTAATCTGCCAGAGCATTTGGCAGAATCCACTAAAATAGAGGATATAAAAACTGGTTCTTGCCATCATTAAATTACATTTTTGCTATCTATATTTTTGCAATGAAATGAAAGGAAGCATGGAGGGGAATCTAAATATGTACTTCTCCTGCCTGTTTCCCCAAATTTGTATGAATTATAGAACAAAAGCATCTTTCATGTTAAAGAAGAGCGCCAAACTGATTCTAAATCACTTCAACACAGCTGGCTTGAGTAGACATATTACTGTTTGAAGACAAAAATACTTTTGTTATGATACTTTTGCTGTTAAACACAAGTATGCAATATCCTTTCAAAAATAAATACGGAAAAATAAGAACAATGTCAACAATGAGACAGTTTGCTACATTGATGTTTTTCTCAAAAGTCACAATAAAGCATAGGAAAATTTAACAATCACCAAACTTAAATATTTACTACTCAGTGTATTTAAATTTTTCACTCTTGATTAGTGTTGTGCAGAAGATTAATTAAATTTATAGCAAATTCATGGTTTTTAAAATTTGAGAGGATTTAAAACCTAGTGGTAGGCTTAAGTGTTTTAATTTAATGGTAATATTTTGCTTGATTTTATCTAATTAACACACAGAGCTAGGAACATATTCAAAAAGAGAAAAATGAAGAACACATTGAAAACATTGTGTCAAGAAAATCACATAAATAATGTGTGTCTAGAAAGAAGGTGTGATCAGTTTGTCAAAAGCTGCTGCTCATCCTGCTTGAGCACTGAGATTTCAGGAGAGGAGAAACACAGTCATCACTGGTAATCTTCAAAAAGTGCCATTTAGGGTAAGTGGACATATTCAAGAGCAACTAGGAGGTAAAGAACTGGAGATAGTAAATTTAGCCGTGAAAGTTATAATCTAAAAAGGAGCTGAGCAACATCCCAATGAGGTGAAATGAGATTTTTTTTTTTTAAAGAAGGAATGTTGCCAGGCTTAAATGAGCAGGATCAAGTAGAAAGGTTCAACAGGAGAGAGAGATTTTCAGTACCAAAAACCCATGAGTGAGAGAGAAGGGCACCAATTCAGTGTACAAATGGAAAGAATGGCATCTGAAAAGAGACAGTATAATTATTCCTTTTAATTTGCAGGAAGACAGAGACAATGAATAGAAATCACAAGTGTTATTGTATCTGTTATTGGAAAGAGTACAGTTGTATCTTTTACTTTTATATTTTTTAGTGAAATTAGAATTGAGAAGTAGTTAACAATGAAGAGGGAGGGATACTGATGTTTGAGTAAAGATGAAAACATGTGAAAATGTTATCAAATTTTATAATTTTAATAGTAAACTATCTTGGAGGATGAGAAAGGATTGCTTTAAGCTTCTGAGGTCCTACTTGAGGTAGGTTGTTAGTGTCTGATATGTGATGTCACTATGTCCTCCCAACTGTCCCCCAGATATATTGAAATATTCTTTATGTGTTGAAATTTAATTGCAGACAGTTCGGATTATCAACTAGAATGGATTTGCCTGGTGTGCTTGATGGAAAAATAAAGAAGCTAGAGAGATGAAAGCATATAAAGAAGAGATCAACATTTGCAACAAAGTGGATTCAGCAAGAAGTGTAATCATATAAGAGCGAAAGAAGGGCATGCAGGAATGGAAGAAAATAAAATGTAATTAAGTTTCATGAATTAAACATCCAAAAAGTCAAAGAATTATTGGTGTCTATTTACTGTTGAATGGTGCACAGGAAAAAAATAGTTGTGTACAAATAGAAATATTAAAATTACAAATGTATACATAGTGCTATTATTAATAATTAAGTTAGAGTGACATTAAAATCTTGAATTGACCCATATTTAAGAGTAGAACAGGCTGGTGCCATGGCTCACTAGGCTAATCCTCCGCCTTGCGGCGCCGGCACACCGGGTTCTAGTCCCGGTCAGGGCGCCGGATTCTGTCCCGGTTGTCCCTCTTCCAGGCCAGCTCTCTGCTGTGGCCCAGGAGTGCAGTGGAGGATGGCCCAAGTGCTTGCGCCCTGCACCCCATGGGAGACCAGGATAAGTACCTGGCTCCTGGCTTCGGATTAGCATGGTGCGCCGGCCGCAGCACGCCAGCCACTGTGGCCATTGGAGGGTGAACCAACAGCAACGGAAGGCCCTTCTCTCTCTCTCTCTCACTGTCCACTCTGCCTATCAAAAACAAAACAAAACAAAACAAAAAGAGTAGAACAATATTCTGCTTTCCCCTTATTTATTAAATCATTAAATTTAGAAATTTGAAGAGACAAATTAAATAAGTGAGCAGAAGTCAGCACATTTTTGCCACTGTCAAAATATATGTGATTCTTAGCAGTCCGTACAAGTGTTAGATGGAATTTTCAAATGAAAGGAATTTTTAAAGTAAATACTGAATTAAATTAAATAATTGTTCTTAAAGCAAATGATTTTTGAAAATGTAAATCATAATGTGTTCATAAGTCATGAGTTGGTAATATCCTACTTTGTGAAAGATAAAAATAATTTTTTATCAATTTCAACAGCAAATATAGCAAATGCTATAGCACATTGAAATTAAATGAAGAGACTTTCCTCAACTTTAGGGAATTTCTCCTTTCATTTTTTATTGAAATTTTCATTGTCTGTCTTCTAGAAATTCTGTAAGGCAGATGCATGAATTTCTGGATGATTTCCATTCATGCTAACTTCTTCGTTTTATTTTCCATATTTCCATTGATTTTCATTTCCTAATAGAAGTTGCTGGATCTTAATACTGAATCCCTTTGTAATGACTCTAGTGACTGTAAAGATGTGTGCCTGCACAATCAATTACCCCACAGCTCAGTGGCATAATACAGTTCTTTACAATGTTCAAGGATTTTGTGGATCAGGAATTGAACAAATCATGACTTCAATAACTTGTGTCTGCTCTATAAAACACACCACATCAGACTAGAAGGTTCAAAGATGTGGAGCTAACATTATCCAATGGTTGGTCACTCACATGTCTGGAAGTTAGCTCAGGCTGTTGCTGACAGCCCTTACACTTGGTGTCTCCATATACTCTGGTCTTTCTCAGTGCAAGATGGTTAGGAAACAAGTGCAAATATCCTGAGAAAGAGAGAGAGAGAGGGAGAGAGGGAGGGAGAGAGAGAGGGAGAGAACAAAGTTAAACCACATCACTGGGGCCAGCATCGTGGCTCACTTGGTTAATCCTCTGCCTGCCTTGCCGGCATCCCATATGGGCACCGGGTTCTAGTCCCGGTTGCTCCTCTTCCAGTCCAGCTCTCTGCTGTGGCCCAGGAAGGCAGTGGAGCATGGCCCAAGTGCTTGGGCTCCTGTACCCGCATGGGAGACCAGGAAGAAGCACCTGGCTCCTGGCTTCGGATAGGCGCAGCACAGGCCGTAGCGGTCATTTGCAGGGTGAACTAATGGAAGGAAGACCTTTCTCTCTGTCTCTCTCTCTATCTATATCTCTACCTATCAAATTAAAAAAAAAAAAAAAGCACATCACCTTTATTACGAACCATGAGCAGTTACACAACTTCTCTTCTTACAGTTTATTCTTAAATAGCTGGTTCACTCTCCAAATGGCTGCAACAGCTGGGGCTCCCCTAGTCTGAAGCCAGGAGACAGAAGCTTCTCCATCAGAGGCAAGCAGCCAAACCTGCTATGCCACAACGCAATTCTACAAGTATTTTGCTAAGTATATGACGTGATCCTTTTGAATCAGTGTGACTAGAAGGGTTTCAACCTTTACCAGTACAAGAGGAAGCCAGGAAGTACAACTTTGCATTCATGTATAGCTATACTTACTAACATTGTTTCAGGTTTTAGGAGGACATTGGCTTTTGCATAACACAGCCATAGTGAATCAGCCTCAAATAAAGAAAACTTTGAAAGCAAAATATGTTTCTTTTGTGAAGCATTGAATGGCATATCTGCTGTGGTTTTTCTCCCAAATGTTGATGTGTTGGAAACTTTGTCCACAGTGTGTTTGATCAGTTATTGAGCCTAGTAACAATGGGGACGTGCAAGTGGAGCCAGTGATACTACTGTGGATGTTTTTGGAAAATGCAATCTGCCACAACCGATCTATTTTTATGAATTTGCTATCAAGTGTAGAAGATAAGGATCATGAAAACACATTTTTATTAATCTGAGAGACAATAGAGGTTATAATTTTGCTAGTAATCATGATCTGAAGAGTTGAGGAATTGATGATAGCAAAGAATGAAAGAAAAATGAAGCACTTATAAACCAAACTGGATTTCATCCAAAGCCAAGAAGTCTAGTTGGGGTTTCGGAGTATCACCTGTTCTGTGCTCCATTATAACAGCAGGAAACAAACAAACAAACAAAAAACAAAAAAAACAAAAAAAAACAGAGAACATGGGTGTAGTTACAGAGAGGCTTTATGTGTATAACAAATTTTATCTTGGTTTTTATATGTTATATATATTATTTAAACTGACTCATCACTACTACCCTAATATATGTATATATTTATTATATATATATAATATATAACTATATTATATAATATATATTTACTATAAATATATTTATTATATATATATTATTCCTCTTTAACAAATGAAGAAATGAGACACAGAAAAGGAAAACAAACTGCTGAAGACCATACAGCTGATAACTGACAGCTGTAAGCCTACTCATCTGCACCAGGCTAAACAGATTTTTAACATATTTGATGGAGAAAAAAGGTGAGTAAGTTTCTAATTTAAAAAAAAAAAAGACTGCTTTCCAAGGGCACTATCAACACTTTCCTAAACAAAGCAGGTATATTGTAGCATTTGTTGAGGGAAGTCTTGTAGGTAGACACATATTAATGTGCACATAATCCCCAGACCTCTCCATAGCACAGACTGAGCAAAGAAGTTGACTACACAGTGTAGCCAAAGCTTCCAGTAGAAGGGAGCCTATGTAAGCTTTAGGAGGACCCATGACAGAGGCTTTCCAAAGGAGTGACTATGCCTGCTCCACACTGTTAACAGATTTCAAGAATAGCCTAAAGTGGACTACAGCAGAGCCTGTATTTTCTTTAACAAAAAGTGTTTCAGGAATGTGCCTACCCAGGCCTAAGTCACACTCACTGAGGACTCAGGGGAAAGGGTGGTTTGGTAGGAATGCTGACATCAGCAAAAAGCCTTTCAATGCCGAGCTGAGAGAAGTCTCTGATGAACTGCCTTTAAAAGGGGAAAGAAATGAGCCCCGTTGATCAGCTGGAATTGTCTGTTAATCAGAGGTGATGTCATCATAACAAACGCAAGTAAGACTATATCAAGAAGTAGTTTGAGTAGACAAAGTGTGGCAAAATTTATTAAGGAAATTTAGCTTCATACGTTATTGGCACTAAAGGCCACTATACCATGGGTGGTAACTGACTTAAAGAGACTAGTTAACACACTTTTAAGGGATTCTTAGCTAATATCTAGTTCCTTGAGAGCAGGCTGTTAGGCTTAAGCAAAATTAGGGCTTTGTCAATCTCATATGATCAAATCACAAGGTTAAAAAATATTAATAGTGTTTGTGAAAAGCATGAAATCATAGAACCTAATACTTGTAAACAAGGAAGAGAAAACATGAATGATGTAATGAATAATGACAGAGAGAAGTAGTTTAGTATTCCTGGTTTACTGTAAACCTATCATGGTAACCCCTTTCTCCCTAAAACATCACAAAAACCTAATTTAAAATAAATACTCTAGTTTACTTGCTGTGAAAACTTTTCTGCTTGTCTTGTTTGAACACCAAATCATAGAAGTTTCCTATGAACAATACAGATGATCGCTGTATTGTGTTGATTTGACTAAATCCATTAACCAATAGTATTAAGTAGTACAAACAAACAAATACTAGGAGGGATATAGTATTAAGTTGTTCATCAACAGTCAGGGCAAGGGCTGATCAAGTCACCATTTCTCATAGTGTCCATTTCACTTCAACAGGTTTCCCCTTTGGTGCTCAGTTAGTTGTCGCCGATCAGGGAAAACATATGATATTTGTCCCTTAACATGATGGATTTTCAAAAGCATATGCTATAAAGACTCAGATCTCCCCTATCAGGCCAGCATCAGGTTTTCTCTCTATGGACGAGGAAACTTATTTCGTGGTGATTAAAATAATTTAGTAAAGATCACATAGAGATTACCTCACCAGATTTAACTTTAGCTGACTTACTCTTTAAGACGCTAATACAGATTCATGCAGGAAGTAACGCACTGGGATCAACTTTTAAGGTCTCAGTTAAATCTTTCAGTCATCTGTGTGTGCACAATGCTGGAAATTTTCAACTGCCATCTTCGGTCAGATACTGAAATATCGTTGAACTCATAGTACGCAGTTCTACAAGTTGTACCCACTGAACATATGAAGAGTCAATATTTATATTTCAACTTTGGCATTCATTCAGTACAGCTTTCTGTATTCAATTAAAAACCAATTGTTCTTTTTATTTTCCAATTGTATAAAAGAAATTATCATTTTAAGCAATTCCTATCTTAGCTCCTGAATCTTACACCTTTCAAATTTTCTAGCCAGTATTTAGAAAGGTGATGGAAAAAAAAATTAAATTGTTTTCCAAAATCACCAGCTTGTTCAGTGAGCTCAAATGCAATGAGTTAGATTTAACCATAAACATGGAGCTACAGGATAATGGCTCATTGGATAAGAAATGCAGAA